TGCGCATTGTAGTTCAAACCGTTATGTCTCGATAGGAACTTTTATCTGTGACGTTTATATAGGTTGGTATTGTACTTTTGAATCAGAAACGGCAGACGACATAACTTAACCCCAGGATTCAGAACAGTTGCCTACACAAAGGACGATCAAAAGAACGGAAAGTTAAATAATTTTTTCCTAAGTTTCGTAGTGTGACATTTGTGGTCAATTACGATGAATTGATGTGTACCTCCCCCCACCCTGAAATCTTGTTATGTTTCTCTTAATTGACAAACGATTTTTGGTTCAGTCTTTCAATATATGGACCTATTATTAGAATGAGATACCTTAGTTTGACAGAAAAGCATCGTAACTTAAATTTGTAACTGTCATTTCTGGCGTTGACCAATCAGTTTGATTGTTTCGTGATCATTTTGTGACTGTTTTAGGACACTCGATGTAATCCTGTAACACTTAAATATTACCCTTCCTACCTGTTAGGGGAAACAAATATCCGTATTCAGCAAAGTAAATGGACTCTAGACGCTTCACAACAACCTCTAAACTGTTCTTCTGAAATTGTGAGCAGGAGATTTTAACTTCATAATTCTATCTTTAGATAAATTAAAAATTACATAAGGTGGCTTTAGACAAACGACAACACCTATACTCCACCTATTAGTGGAAGCAAACTTACCCGAGCCGTCTGCGTCCGTTGTTTTCCATTTCTGCACCTATTGAAACACTTTTGCCACCCACAGCATTTAAACATGAAGGACACAAGGTTAATGGGAACTGGTATTGGATGACAGGAACTGTATGTCTGTATTGTTATGGCTTTCTTGAAGGACCATTCCATCAGCGAGTTGTCCTAATAGAAATGGCAGAATGAATATTAAGACTGCACAAAGAGTAATATCAGTCAGAGCCTGATTTCTTTAATGACGAATGACAAAAAATCTCCAAAAACCAATATTATATGATACTGCATTAAAAGCAATCAGATGCTCTTAGAAAGAATACATTAAGGCGCTCTTAAAATAGGCGTTTTGGACTAGTCATTCTGTTCAGCTTGTCTCTGTGGGTATTCTTTTTCCAATTGCCCAAAAAGTAGAATGCGACGTTCTAATCTTCAAACTATTAGGGAACCATCTGTAACACAAAATTCTGGAATGACAGTAAGTCAGAAGAATGAGTCTAAATTCTAACATGGTACTGAGGCTTCGGGGACTAACAAAAAGAGAAGTCACTTTAAGGTTGGGGCGTATTAGAATTCTAATACAGTCGAACCTCCGGTTGCGACCACCTCTCGTCAGAGACCAGTTTTCCAAAATACCAAAAGTTTCTCAGTCAAATCACTATGGCTGGAACCTCTTGTAAGCGACCACCTCTCGTAGGCGACCGCGACCACATTTACACCTAAAAGTTTGAAATGTTCTATTGTTTTTAACCTTCCTTAAGCGACCACTTGACAAATAATGGAGCGTAAATTGGATAACAGGGTGTTGTAACATAATGACGTTCCTGGATTTGCAGTGCCATTTGTACAGAACAGAAACTGGTACCGGATTTTCTCACTAAATTGACTTTTCACATGAATAAACATTTAAAACATGGGGTAAGTCTCTACCGTTACCATACGCTAATGAGGCCAAATTTTGACTCAGTATGGTCTAAGCTCTCTTAAGCGACCACCTTCCGTAAGCGACCTGCTAGGCTTGATATTTTGGGTAGTCGCTTTCGGGAGGTTCGACTGTATATCGAAATTGGCCTAGTAGTTTCCATGTAAGGACTATCATTAACGAAGACATTAAAGAGTGGAGTAGGAAACAACTTCACTTTTTTTTGCACAAGAAATAAAAATTTTTAAAAAAATATTAATTTTCTGATGGAGGAAAGGCAGATCACTATCCCACCTGTACTTTCTGGTATGTGTTGGACAAAAGTGCAATCATCATGTTGATAAGAAGAATGACTCCCATTACGAGGAACGCTCCATACAGAAAATTGACAAGTATTACTGAAGGATTATCAGCTGACTCTAAGAAGTCTACATCCACCGCTCCCATCAAAGACCAACACAGATGTCGCACCATCTTCCACCAGCTGTGGATAGAAAAGAGGACCTTAAGATACTGGCGAAGTCTAAGCACTTCGTAAATCATATGAACCCTAAATGTGCCGGAGCAAATCGCTCTTTTACATCAAAGGTTATTGAGAGGTAAAAGGTACAGGTATATGCAAGGAATACATGTGCGTTCTATCTTCTATTCACGCCAGGACAAAGACTCAAATATATCGTATAGACTAGCAAACAATACGACGACGGGTTTAGAGCATCCAGAAAATGAAAATGATTAGAAGATTATCTACTCTTGTAACAGAATCATTGGAAGAATTAATAAAGCTATCGCTTACGAACTCTCTAGACTTACCAGGCTATTCCAGATCTGCTGCAAACACTGCAACATAAACATATAAAGAACCGCGACTCGTGTTTTATAATGTACTTTTTGGCAAGGGGCGCACAGTCCCCACATCATACGAACTGAGACCTGCTTTTGAGTTATTTAAAAACATCTCCCCGCTTTTGTTTTTAATTTTGCAACATTTGCCCAATACGTTAACGCAAACAATTAATTAATCCTGTAACAGACAAAGTAGGACGGCAAGTAAATTGGTGAACATGAATACAAACTATACAGTAAAGGGAAATATTCAGTCATATGGACGAACTCATGCATGGCAAGCAAATGGTGAGGTATATAACTTATGTAAACTATTTCCGACGGCTTCTGCACCTCACCTCTCACGTTTCAACGTCTACCAAGGGAACTTTGATCAAAGAAAATGGATAGAGTATAACAATAATAAAAATTTAGTAAGGCTGGCAATTTTGAGGCCATCGACACCGAAATCTACATTTTCATGGCAGAAAAATGTGCGGTAGGGCAAGCTTTGGCAACATATTTCGCATACAAATCGATTAAACTCTGCAGATAAACGATCTGCTACTGACTTAACCAGGAAGCGGCCTACTCACAGTTCTTCTCCATTTTCTTCGGATATGAAAGACTTCTCAGCCACGTAAACTTTAGTTATTGCAATAGAAAAGGCCAAAATAACTGCTATAAACTGCCAAAATATGGTAACGAGGTCACTCAAGATGTGGAACAACGCGATCTGGATGGGGCCAATTTGCTTTGTTGTCTCCATCACGTGACCAAATGCCCTGAGCGTTAGGAACATGGTGTTGAGGCCGTAAAAATAGCCAGCTATGACAAGGGATCGGTTGTTGGTCACGGATTTTGAAACAGCCAACGTGACCATTCTTAGAACAAAAGTAGCGAAGTAAATGATGAGCGTGATGAGGTCCAAGATGTTCCACCGATCACTGCAAACAATACGAAAAATACGCAATAGGTAAAAATTAACCAACCAACAAACAAACAACAGGGGAAAAGCACTTTTTCTTAACGGCAATGTCCCAGGGCAAGTATGTTTTGAGCTGAGCACTTCTGAATCAGAATTCTATGAACACGATCACGGACCGTGATCCGTCAGCCTTGATCACGGACTGCAAAGACGCCATTTACTTCAAACGCCCAATTCTGATTCCAATACTGGACTAGTAATAGGGCAATGTGACTGGTGGCTTAAAGGTATTGGCCTTCTGAATTAACTTAGACGTGTAATAAATAGGAATAAGTTATAGAATCCTTGCACGAACAACTGACATTTCTCTTCCAGGTGGGTTTTCTCACTTGTGTGATAGCGTAGCTTGGCATTAAAGCGATTACAGAGCTGTCTAAGTTACATGTGTAGACATTAGTTATTTCAAATTAAAAAAGATNACGAACTTTTTATGTAGAGGTTAAAAGGACGATTGGCTTTCGATCGCAGGCCTATGTCAGTTCAGTCATTTATACCTCTGTCAACAGTCGTACCTAGTTTATACTCTAAAAAGGTATTCGTGGTTTCGAAAAGACTACCGAAAGTAAAAATCAAAGTAATATATGGGTGTTCGGTCTGGGCTTAGATTAATAACTCTAAGTGTATACGAGTACGCATGGTTTTTGAAAAGATCTTCGTGTATTTTTTGGAAACTTACTGTGCAAAAGGCCCTTTCCAACAAACTTGAAACTTTCATTTTGTCCAAAATGAAGGACATCGGCTCCATCGTCAATATTCTTTAGTTGCCGAAGATTGGCATGAGGTCCAAAAGCGACGGTTATAACTTTTACTTGCTTGGCCTTTACCTCAGTCAGTTGATCCATTACCTGATCTTTTTCATCCCATAAGCAAGTTCTATGATCCGTCAAGATAATCAGGACCTGTATTTAAAATGAGTTGGCATGTCAGTGACTGAAAATTGAACATTTTTAAGAAAAACATAATAGTTATGATACAATACAAACCGAGAGGGTTGAACTTATTTGCTATTCTCTGGTTCACATTATTTGTGGTGGAGAATGGTAAAACAGAACAAATTTTAAGAGGAAGGTAGATGTCCTCTTTCTCAACGAGGAAAACTAAAACAGGAAAGAGAACAGATAGTGATAGTGATTGGGATGAAGGTGAAAGACTAAGTCATGACGATGTTGAAGTTGATGATAAGGATGCTTAAGCAAGCAACGACGACGACGTCAACGAGACAACACCAAACGAAAGGTGAATGAGCAGAACAATAGCTATGAACGCGCGTTTTGAATCTTGGTACACTTTTTAGCCGCCCTCTGAAAAACAAAAACGTGGATTGACCACGTTCTGTATATTTTGGAGAACGTAAACCACGATGATTTTTCATATCTTCTTTTGGAATCGAATAACATTAATAGACTGATCGAGGTTTTAGACTGATAGGCGAACTGATCTAATCTAGTCATCTGCGACATTCGATAGTAAAATATAATTCCATTTTTGACTGGCGTTGTCCTCCTCGTAGCCGTCGTCAATGCTTATGACGACGACGACAATGATGATGATGATAATCTTACCTTTTCTGCGTCTTTCTTAAGTGTGTTGCTCTCGAAAGCTTCACTAGGCCTTGTGTAGATCCTCGTGAAGAGCTGGAACAACCACGTTTCCCCTTTGAAGATCTTCAACCGCGTCTTTAAGCGCCGTTACATTGACATGATTGGTGTTGAAACAAATTTCATGTGATTGAAAGCTGTTGTCGTCTGGATGTCGGATGATGATGTGGTACTTGGCTCCATCATTGCCATATTTGTCGATGATATATTTCATGGAGTCTTTCATAACAAGAAACGCCTCATCGGCGACCTCAGAAGTTGCATTGACGAGGAAAACAATGGCAACATCTATGGTGAAAGAGCACAACATCTTATGGTTGTATTGAAACTAGAGTACCTCAGGACCTGACCATGAACTTAACCTTGCGATGTCACTGAGACTTTAATACCACCCCACCAAATTAATACTTGTAAATTTAGTGACTTTGGTAAATTTAGATGGATTTCGTCAATTTCTAAACGTCATTCAAAATTCATAGCTCTGTCTCCAAGTCTGACAGTAGATGAGGTTCCCAAATTCCATACAAAGATAAAGACGTTTAAATGTTACTACCATGGTTACAACATCCAAAAACCACTCAGAATTTTACATGTAATATGTCTTGCAGTGAGGTTCATTTCCTAACTTATTCAACTCAAAAAATAAACGTTAGTAGTACTGGCGAAATTTTCATTTGAACTTCGAAAGACCTGATCTGTGACACTAGAAATAAACTCTATGAAAGCANTGGAGAACGTAAACCACGATGATTTTTCATATCTTCTTTTGGAATCGAATAACATTAATAGACTGATCGATTTTTGAGACTGATAGGCGAACTGATCTAATCTAGTCATCTGCGACATTCGATAGTAAAATATAATTCCATTTTTTACTGGCGTTGTCCTCCTCGTAGCCGACAATGATGATGCTGATAATCTTACCTTTTCTGCGTCTTTCTTAAGTGTGTTGCTCTCGAAAGCTTCACTGGCCTTCTGTAGATCCTTGTGAAGAGCTGGAACAACCACGTTTCCCCTTTGAAGATCTTCAACCGCGTCTTTAAGCGCCGTTACATTGACATGATTGGTGTTGAAACAAATTTCATGTGATTGAAAGCTGTTGTCGTCTGGATGTCGGATGATGATGTGGTACTTGGCTCGATCATTGCCATATTTGTCGATGATATACTTCATGGAGCCTTTCATAGCACGAAACGCCTCTTTGGCGACCTCAGAAGTTGCATTGACGAGAAAAACAATGGCAATATCTATGGTGAAAGAGCACAACATCTTATAGTTGTATTGAAACCAGGGTACTTCAGGACCTGACCATGAACTTGTCCTTGCGATGTCATTGAGATTTTAATACCACCCCACCAAATTAAGAATTGTAAATTTAGTAACTTTGGTAAATTTAGACGGATTTCGTCAACTTTCAAACATCATTCAAAATTCATAGCTCTGTCTCCAAGTCTGACAGTAGATGGGGTTCCCAAATTCCATACAAAGATAAAGACGTTTTAATGTTTGGAAGCTCGCGACTATCATGGTTACAACATCCAGAAACTACTCAGAATCTTACATGTAATATGTCTTGCGGTGAGGTTCATTTCCTAACTTATTCAACTCAAAAAATAAACGTTAGTAGTACTGGCGAAATTTTCACTTGAACTTCGAAAGACCTGATCTGTGACACTAGAAATAAACTCTATGAAAGCACGTAATATATCTTTTAAATTCAACTCTCGATAGGTTCCGTGAACTTTCGATGGAGAAGATTTCCGCCACTTCCCAAGAGATCTCGGGTGTCCAAAAAATGATACCTCAGTTTAATTATTTCCAAGGGTCATTTCGAACGATCGAGTAAGTGCTGAACTCGGAGTTTTAGAGCCATATGGGGCTGAAAAGTAGTCCGTTGCAATAAGTTACTTCGTTTTTTTCTTGCCTTATCTCTGCAGATGTGAATAATGTAAAAAAGGGCAAAGAGAACTGGAAAGAGCAGCACGTCGATCAGACACCAGATGTTAAGAAAACACCATTTCCAATACTGAATAGTCAGCCAGGACGATCTCTTCAGTGTGCGGGATTCACCGAACCATTTGTTGTTCATCAAGCGATGAAGCACTGGATGTGCTAAAGTCTACAATGGAAAGAGACAATTCGTCAACAAATGCGGGTAATTGAAGTACTCTTGAAGTCAAAGAAATTCAGTGCAGAAGTAGTTAAGTTTTAGTGATGTGGTTCGCAGTTCTTGGTGTTGGAGTTGTTGTTGTTATTTTTCTTTGTTTCTTTGCGTTAACCGTTTAACTGACCTGGAGTTGTCAAAATCACAAGTCCGACAAAATGCCCGCCAAGCCCGCCAGATATACAGTCTCTTGGCTTCGTCAGTTCCAAGCGCGATCCCTTCTCCCCTCGAATTTCTCGGGCAAAATTTATTTTGTTTTCACAACGTTGCAAATGGACTACGGCCGGGTCAGGTTGTGCATGTAGAATCTCCACGGTGAACCACAAGGACATGCTTTAGACCAGTTTTTTGTGTTATGAGCGAGGGTGGTGCAAACCAACCTGCGCTGAAACATCCTTAAGCCGGCCAAGTTTAAAAGCTTTGGTTTCTTACCTTTTTCTGTTCCATTTCTATAGCAGCATCCATGACGTGATCCAGTGAATCAGCAAAAGCGTGGCGGAATTCTATATCTGACTTTAACGGATTTAACAGCACGCAAGAGAACTCGTCTACAGAGTTGGCCAATTTTGTCAACTCTTCTTCGTCTGGTCCCTTTTTGTCTGCTCTCCGACGCAGCACAAAGCTTGCCTGACAAATAAATACCTAAGGATTATTATTCACCTCGAACACAAACGGCGTAACCTATATATAGTTCATGTGTTCGGCTCCTAAATGACAACTACTACACGGACGAGACAGTTTTGAGCCTACATTTAGCACGCTGCTCAAATCAGTAATTTGTCGAAATTACGAGTGTTTTTTTGGACGGAAGTCACATCTTATGTCTGTTCACAGTTTCTCTTTCCTATCACCAATTATTTTTAACGAAGCACGAAATGTTTTCTAATTCATAGTAAAATATCTAAAATAAAGTCTTCCGTACATATGTACTGGTTGATGATAAATACTTTATTTGCCAAAGTGGCTCTATATCTTGGGGGTACTATCATGGGATATGGTTGGGGGATGCTCGTCATCTCGCTCAGCGGGGGTGTAAATCACTAGTTTTGATCTCACTTAGAGTGTCCAAGACGAAACATCACCAACTTTAATTTAACTGACAGGTTTCTTTTAGGGTTGTACTGTCTGTCCGTTTTTAAATGATGGTATCTTTTTAAAGATCAAATAAAGCTTGAGCAAGGTTGGTCTCCCTCAGAGGGTTAATTCAAATTTTCCGTACAGCATCACGGAACTTTTCGCATGAAAGTCTTCTTAAGAGGCTCTATATATTATCTACCTTCATTGCCATATTCAATGTATTGGTCTTGCATTTTGATAGAGTTTGTGGATTAAGTCTCTTCGTTATTTCTTCTACATCCCCTGTCTCAATCGCATGCATCAGAGAATCCTCGAATTCTATGAGAGAATAAACAGTTTTAAAGATCACTATTGCTTTTAAAATAGTCAGAAAAGGATGTTTATTTTAATTAAGAACATTTCAGAACCAAATGGCCAAAACCTTAGAATAACGTTCAGCCTCAGTCTAAAAATTACACATTCTCTAAAAGCAAGAGTGCATCAGTAAAACGCAAAGTGATCATTTTCGATTATTTGCTATTTTGTTTTGTATTAAAATAAAACATCTACACGACATGCCTCAACTAGTTTTAGTGTGACTGAGATTAAGTTGAGCTGATAGCAAAATGATCTTCAGCAGAAACCGTTATCTTCCCATGTTACACGATAGTAATGCCAGGCAATACACTGGAATATCTCTATTTGCCTCCAAAGATCGACACACCCGACTATCTACATATATTTGGACAATTACCTTTTTCAACTATTTTTCTGTGTAAATAAGGCACTCGAGAGAATTGCATTTTCCTCTTTAGCCTGCGTCATCGGCATTCGGCATTCTCGCCCCAAGAAAACTGGGACCGAGAGCAAAAACTGAATCGAAGGAGGCGGGGGTGGTGATAACCTACTGACTTTTGTGCGGCCAAAATGCGTAAATGTCTTCGATCATACGGAAACGCTTGCTACTCAAACTAGGAACACGCTCCTAGCACAGATAAGGTGACATTAGATGTTCGCAATAACAAAATAAAAGATTTGTCCAAAACAAAGCCTGAACAATTGTTAATTTAATAAGTATTAATTTCAATGTTTCGGAGCTCTAGAGAAATCATTTTTTTTCAGTAACTAAACATATGTTTCTATTACTTTCCGACCGCCTTTTTGGTGCCTCGCCGGAGGGGCACCAACATGGCGTCTCCATACAAAGTTCTATAAATTTGCGTGAAACACTTTTCCCAGTAACGCGCGAATGAAAGCCCGCACAGACTGAAACCTTGGCGAGGTTGTTTATACAGCTGTATATCAATGATCTCTCATATACCACATTCTTGACCTAGTTTATTGCATGGTTAAAATGTTTTTTGTTTTTGTTTTTGTTTTTTTGTTTTTTGATGGCGTGACAGTCCAAACCAGCAAAAGGTAGTTCACCTTTGAATAGGATAAATGTTTCATTGTTAATAACTAATTTTTGGGAAGTTATTGACAACTATATATGGTTGACAACAAACTAATCATAAATAACTATTTCTCTTGTTTGCATATCGTGGCGCTGGACAAACCAATATTTTATAAATCTTCATCAGTAACATTTGCCGAAACTCGGTATCAACGTACCTTGTTTTTCTTTCTCTTCTTTCTGTTTGGCTTCTTTCTTTTTGGCTTCATCTTGATCATCATTTGACAATTCTTGTAAATTTATTCCACTTTCTGATTCTTCCATTGTCTTCACGTCTCTCTATAAACCACCAACAAATGGAAATTTATGACTGACAAAAGTAACAACTGCTTCAAAGGAACCGCACCAAAACTTACTACTAAAGTTTTAATGAGCGCCACAATGGCACTGCCTGCTCTTCACGTGAACGAGTTATATAGTTTGGTAAATTCCGTGACCATCCTATGAAGGACACCTCCGTATTATGCAGAACGTAAGTGTTGCGTGCCAAATGCCGCATATGGAACTTAAGTCTGTCTTTACAACTTAAACTGGAACTGGTTCTTAAAACCGATATGGACTGAACACTTTTTAGATTTACTGTTACAATAAGTAGTCTAGCGTGACATCGTGACGTGTAGTTTGTCACGCGTTCCAGTTGTTAGTTGTACTACCATGTTTGGTCAATAAAGACCGCTCCTTGTTCACGGACTAATGGCGTCCATATGTTGAAGCAAAATTTGAGGTGTTGGAGATGGGTTTGATGGAATGTGGTCTTCGGTGTTTGACACACTATATACACAAGTACACCTATCTTCTCAATTGAGACTAAAACTAAGGAGAAAAAGGCGACTTAAATTACAACATCTATGCCAAATAAGATCAGATATCCGAACATCACCACATTTATGATTTGCACTGTTTAAACTTGATGAGTTATTGATGAGTTTGAGAAAATTATTTGAAAATGCGTCTACAAGTGAATTTTTAAGAGACATATATTGGGCATTGTTTGATGTCAAGAGTAAAAATAATGAACAATGTATTAAATTGCATTACGCTGTATTGAATGTACATTCTGGCAAAAGCTGAAACTATCCTGGAATATTAGTTAACCTCATTGTAACAGTTTAAGGCAAATACACATTTTTTTGTACAGAATTAATATCTTGTAGAACTGTATAGGCTCGATCCAATAAGCATATTCTGAGTACAGTGTCTGCTATTTGATTGTAAATTTTAACAATAATCAAGTGAACATAATTTGCAACACGCTGCTTACCAATGTTCACCAAAGTGTGCTTCTGTCAGTTCCTTGACCTGTGGTCAGCAGACACAGTGGTTGTTGTATTATTTTTATCAAATACTGCAGGGCCTGGATTGTTCTCCACATCATTCACTTCCCCTTACAAGTAAAGGGATGTAGACAAAAT